ATCAAAGTCATAACTTAAGATGTTCTTCTCTGCTAGTCCAAGCTGTACATGAAACAAAGAGAAACATTTGGAATATTACATGGATGTTGACATTGAACACGTAACATTCTAAGAAGTTAAAGCAGTAGAAAACTTCCTTGCATGCATCCTAAGAAAATGGTGTAAAAAAAGAAAAAAGAATTAGGGCTCAGACATCGTTTGCTTCTTCATTAGGATCATGCCACAATAATAGATCCATTAAAATGAAAAGACACTGAAACATATTATCAGAAGTTAAGAAAAAGAACATACTATTCCAAGAGTGGTTTACTAATTGCCCTTGCCTAGAGCCCTTCTATTACCTTTAGCCCCTGTTTCCCAAAATCTTGCTAAAAGATAAATCTTTCAAGCAAAACAAATGCAAATGCAAATGCAAGGAAAGAGAATTGTTAAGCGATGAAATAAAGAACGTGCCATTTGCCTTCTTCTCCACATGTGAGTCCACAAGTTCAACAGCTCATTAGTGCGGAGAGGCTTTACAAGGTAGTCAGCTGCTCCAAATTTGAGGCACTTGACAACAATAGAGACTTCATCTTCCGATGACATCACTAGGAAAGGAAATAACAAATAAATTTTTTACCATTCTTTATAAGTACATCTGAAATCAAGTTACAATTTATACAAGTTATGCTTACTGATCACCGGAATGCGCCTCAGCTCTTTATCCCTCATGATGTATTTCAACATCTTATATCCTTTAGACATAGGAAGGTCAACTTCAGAAAGGATGATATCAATATCAGGTCCTTCAGCATTCAGTGCATCAATCACCTGCCTGGGTGACCTCACCGAAGTCACTGCAAGGCGAAAATCACCACAATCAATGCAAGAACATTCAATGCTGCCTTCTAAAATACCATGTGTATTATAAGCCAAGTAGCCAACTGTAGATTGACCTAGGATCAAAAAACAAGGGTAACTTACTAAGACAAACTTCTTCCCCCAGCCACCGCTGGCGCCCAATTGTCCTACATCCTTTAGTTTTGTTTTCATTCTTATTCAACCATTTATTTTGAGATGGAAATTAATGCATACCAACTAAGCCAGTATAAGCTAATTTTTTCCTTTTTAAAGGTTCAATTCTACTCTCCTTTTCCTTATTCTTCTTATTTTGTTTTGTTTCCTCAGTTGGAGGAGGCGGAAGAACTGCAGATGGTTGAACCTTTGAGCTGAGACAGTGAATGCTAATCTTCAAAAAGATCAACAGGAAGTAACATGCTTAAGTTAGGAACATCAGAGCTCATGTTAGATAAAGCAAGTGATCGATCATCTATACAAACGGGAGTTAAACTAAAATGAATAAAACTATTTCACTCAACAAGAGTACTTATAAGGCCTTATATCCAGCTTTAGAAATAAAACATAAATCATCTGGACTTTGTTCACATTAATTCTAACACCTGCTTCAGGAAAAACATAAATCATCTCAAATCAAATTCCACACACATACACACAAAAAAACATTTATAAGACTGTCAATAATAAAATATAACAAAAATCGTAAACTAGGAGCTCCAATAGCTGGATATTACCTTGATAAGAGCATTTGCACAAGAGCGTAAAAACCTCCTGAGAGCTTTTGGCATCCTTATCACACAGTAAAATCCGCACTTTACTCCTATCAATAAACCCTTCCCCACTCTTAACAATCTCACTCTTCTCCATAATCTCCCCGAATATACTTAAAAATCAACAGTCTTCAGAATTCCAGCTCAAAACCCCCACTCCCCCGTAAATTAATACTACAAAACCTCCATTGCAAGCACTTTCCACACTCTTCACTACAAGTAATAAAAATTAGAAACTAGAAAAATTAAACTTAGGGTTTCTAATTCAGCTGGTTTCATTTAGCGGATCACGTAGTCATCTTATCCAATCCAAGGATATACATCTCTTTTCACCTAATATTGCAAACACAAATAAAAAGTGCTTCTGCTATTATGCTGTGCTAAATAAACAAGCAGCAACATCTCCGGGCACATCGGAGGGAATCAACGACCGGAAAAATACATAAATTCTCAAACAGCATCGTTCGTCGGACCGATCCGGCGCACGTTAGCAAGAACTAATTTTGACAAATCTGTACACAGACTTCTACCTAGAGTAAGACTCAAGTTAGAAAAATAAAAAGAAGAGTCTCCTCTGGCTGGTAAGCTTCTGAGTGGTCGTCTAAAAGTTACAGCCTTTTCAGGCCGACGAAAAATATTAAATATCTTAACACTAGCAGCACTTTTTAGGTAGATGGTGAAAGCTAAAGTGCGCCGCGTAGGGGTTGAAAATATCTGAACCGCAGAATGCGGGAAATCAACGGCAAGGATTAGATGAGGTGGGCGTAGCTGGCACGCGGCGTAAGATAGTGAAATGTAATACGTGGAATGTGGAAGAAAAAGTGAAAAGAGAAAAGATCAAAAAGGGCACTGTGAGAGGAAGATATTTGGGATATTTTTGTTGGCTAGGGATAGAGGATAAGCCACGTCATCTAGAGATCTGTAAAATTTGAATTTGTGATAGTAGAGATTGAAGAAACGTAAGGAAAAGTGTGGGACTTTCTACTTTAAGGCCCGCAATATGTACAAGGTTTCTTATTGGTTAACCCTTTTTTCTCCACTCTTACATTCTCCACGTGTGAAATCAACTTGACTTCAATCTTCAACCATGTTAGTTATGCCTTGAATCCTCTCATCTTATCCATTCCTGTATCCTTTTCTTCTTGTATGTACAAAATAAGAAGAAAAAAGATGGAGTAGAATAGCAGTGACCAAATACAAAGAATGGGACGATAGTAGGCTATTCCATTCTTGATATTGTAACTCAAATTATTTTCTTTTAATTTGGCTATTAGACTATTCTCAAGAATACTAGTATGTTACTACAATTTATTCAACCTCTTTTTTCATATATATAATCTCCTTTTGCAAAATAGTAATTAGGCATGAGAAAGATTCCCAGCTTGACAAAACTCGTTATCAAATCACTGAGATTCGAACATAGTGTTCTTGACCACCGATGTATCCCCTATAAACAAAATGTATTATTCCTCAATAAGTCGTTTTGTTTATCGTGGGGCACGTGAGTGAACAAAATTTCGCTTGCATACATCATCTCAAATCAAATAAAGATAAATTGCAGAATTTTCCAGACTAAACAATAGACTGTTTTTGCATATATCATTATGTGGTTCTACTCTTTTTTTCTTTTAGCTAATCTAATAATCTCTTCGTTTCAATTTACGTGAACTCATTTGAATGGGTACGGAGTTCAAGAAAAGAGATAAGACTTTTAAATTTGTAGCGTAAAATGAGTCACATATATTTTGTGTGGCTATAAATCATTGCATAATGGTAAAAAAAATTCAAATAAGGAAAGAAATCATTTTTTTTTGGCACGGATTAAATAGAAAATAAGTTTACATAAATTGATTTCCAGCTCTTAGTGTTTATTTTACCATGTCCTTTTCTCATCCGTCATTTTCATAGCAATTATTTGTGCTAATATGTCTTTGCCTTGCTGTTCTTAAGAAAAGCGTTTTTAAGGCTAACCAAACAATTTAAATTCAGCAATTTGAAGAAGTTTTATGTATATGTCAACTAGAGAACTAGATACCAAAATCTGTAATAATCATACACATGATGGCGTGCGGGCCACGTGGCCATTTGGGAGACAAAACGATCATATATACTTGGATCGCATAATTCGATCAATTGAAAAATTAAAAAGCAGGATTAACTGATTATTCTAATCTTAAAATAGTTTTATCAAGTTCATTTAAGTTATAGTCTTAGGAGAAGCTTATTTTAGGTTAGGCACTCCCTGTTATTTACAACAACAAGACACAAGCTTTTCCAGATTAGGTAAAAATGTATTATTTTGTTTGACACCCAAGGTGTTTACACTCGATTTAGTTAAATTAACCATAAAAAAACAAATAAAGGCCTACTAGTCTTATATTTAATAAATTAAAAATACAACTAAAGAAAACAAGTTCCATTCTTTTTCTAGCGTTCTGGTAAATTTCACAGCTCTATGTCTTGTTTCTTCAATCTTTTATTTCTCATCTTACCAAAATCATCTCTATTATTGCATATTCCTGGATATTATATTCAAGTAAAGCATTGGCCATCCTAGGCGGAGCCTGGATCTGAAATTTCTGGGTTCAGGATTTTAGCCCTTTTAAGTTACCGAGTTCTAAATTTCTTAATAATTTGAACATATTAAATGCATTTCTTAAGACAAATATAGAGTTTGGACCAAAGTTAATGGGTTCGGCCGAACCCGCGCTTCGGTCTCTAGCTCCGCCCCTGTGGCCATCTATCACATCTCATACTCGTAACTAAGTTGAATTTAATATATTGGAGATGAATTAGAAGTATAAGTAAATGAATATGATGATTATTTTGCGAATACTAATGTAAGAGTGAATGCATATTTTCATGTTCATATTGCTAATGATAGTTACAGCAGAAAAAACAAAAAGTTATGACCTTTGGGACGTGGATTGTGGCACAGAAAGTATAAGAAAGTAGCGTCAATCTATGTTACACTCATTTATATTAGTATTAATTAAGATCATGTGCGAAATACATGGTAATTAAGTATGGTTAAGTACTGATAGTTGTAGTAAAATAAAATAATTGTTTCCTTTTTTTATTGACCAAGTGTAAATACCAGGGCAAGTAAGCCAGTTGGAGATGAAATTGTATGCATTTATGGATAGAATGAGATTCAAGCTGAGGAAATAGTTGAACTATTAAAGAAAGTTTTACCTTTAATTTTACATGAAAATAAATATGAATGTAGAGTTGCGTATTATATAAATAGTAGTAGTAGTAGCAGCAGAAGGTGTTAAACTTATAGTTGAAAATATAGTTTGCTAGGTCTAATAAATTCTTGCAAGTAGTGAACGTCGTATAAAATAGGACGATTATTGAATCAGTCATATACATTGAATCTTTCAAAAGGAATGAGTAACATATAAATGGTCGTCCAACTAATAAAAATAACACGGTAAAGTCACTTGTGAATGTTTTATCAGATTAAACACAAAAACGTACAGATGATAGGTTGGATAAAACCTTTCAATTTATCATACATGAGAGAGCTAATTAATGCCTTCCCCTCTTGAAAGATTTCACAGGAATCACAGCGAGTTTCTAAATATAGTCAATCTGATAAACAGTCCAAGCCACCTAAGTTTAAGTTATAGAGGTCAATCATCTATCAGGTGGAATTGGAATGCACAATCAACTTTAGTGCGACTAAGCGGATGCCAGCATTCTGTTGGATGTCATATGAATCAACTGAGAAGTAAGCATCCACAAATGTTCCTGGTGTTATCAAGGATTCCAGTTCTGTCACATCAAATCTACTAAAGACGAGCTTTTGTGTTGTGGAAGATTCTTTCTGGTATATCTCCGTCATCCAGCGGGAATTATTACCATCTATAACAGTTGGTAAACTGCATGTTTGCACATGTTAGGACTTAGCTTATTACATGTCAGTGAAAAGAGGCTGCTTGCTCTGGTAAATGGAGCAGGACTAACACAGACGACATAAAATATCACACCACCACTTTATCTGAGGTATTTCACAACTCGTATGTCCTAGTTTTTAATAAGAAATTTTGGAATAATTATGAACTGAAAAACTCAGTAACTTATGTAGATACTCAGGATAGAAACTCTGAGGGATAAGAGCACATAATTTGTTCAAGACATGTATCCATCCTTAAACGTTAGGACACTTGAGGTGAGAATGGATAAAGAAAAGTTTAGCAGTAACTATACATGAAAGAAAAAGGCAAGCATAGACATAAGCTTTCCTCGTTTTGAATAGCACGAAAACTAAGCATATTCACTTGCAGAGGAGCAAAAAAGAAAGATTTGAACTTACTTTAATCGGACAGTAGGATAGTTCATAAAGCCAGGCTTTCTAGTTACCACAGGCCTCCACTCTGAGCTGCTACCTGAGTCGACAGATAGCTTTTGAGCAAGATTATCAACTGCATCCAAGATTTGGCACAGGTCTGATGATGCATCAACCACGAAACTCAATCGTCGCCGACCAGCATAATCAGCATACTTTGAACTAACACCAAACCGCACCTTCATTCGTCTACAGCAAATTTGTAGTTCACCATAGTCGTGCAATACCTGTATCTTCTGAGACCCACGACAAAAAGGGGCAAGACTTATAGAGACCGAAGGTATTGAGATTTCATTTGGTTCTAAGAAGTCAGAGCAGCCAATGAAACTCTCAGTTGCAGTTGTGGAAGATCCTGGAGAATATGAACCAGATTCATCTTCCATATCATCTGATCGAAGGGACTCTTCCACTCTGGCCATGTTAAAAGGGTTGATTTCTGCCGTCCTCTCCACATAAGTTTCTATCTTGACACTTGACGAGGGTCTATCTGCACTGAAGCCCGTCTCCCCTGGAGAAGCTCTCCCATTAGCACGGCTTCTTGTAGTAGCATTAGGAGACACCCAACTGTTCTCTGTAAATATGTCTGGCAGGCTGGATTCCTGCAGCATAGCCATAATTCATTACTCTTCAGCCCAAACAGAAGTTCAGAAAGCAAATAATATCAATCCCGAGTTCATAGAATGACAATGTAAAAGCTACATAAATGCATACGTTTAAGGGTGAGAGGAGTAGGCTGATGGCAGTACCCCAAAACCAACAGAAACCAAACCACAGTAGGATCAAGTCGGGGAAACTGGATTAAAGTTAAGATAATCTTTGGCTCAATTTTAATACATTCAGAGCTTTAATTTTGATTAATGAGTAGGAATTGTTTTTCCTTAGCTTCATGTAATAGCTATAAATACTTGGTAAACTTGTTCTTTAGGAGAAAATTTGCATAGTGTCACTACAAACACCTTGGTGAGGTAAGAAAATTTAATGTTTGAATTGAGCTTAGGAATTATTTTCAAGCTTTAGTTCTTTGCAGTAATTCTTTTCTTGTTTAATCTTTATATTTTTGGTTCTTTCTTTTCGTTCTTTGGGGTGAATGATTTCATATATCAATTGTTACCAGAGACATTCAGTGAGAATCTAAGATTTTTTCTGTTTTTCAATTCCTTTGGAATTTCTATCATTCTATCTTTTATTAATTTGTTTATTACTTATTTAATATTTTGTTGTGTGTATCCCGAGGCAAAAGGTGTGTCGGTTCCTAGAGAAGTTCTCTGGAGATGCCTGGAGGCAAAAAGTGTGTTGGTTCCCTACATTATGGCGATTAAGGACATGTATGATGGGGCTAAGACTCGGGTTAGGACAGTAGGAGGCGACTCTGAGCATTTTCCGGTTGTAATGGGGTTACACCAAGGTTCTACGCTCAGTCCGTTCTTATTCGCCCCGGTGATCGACGCGTTAACACACCATATTCAAGAGGAGGTGCCATGGTGCATGCTATTCGCCAATGACATAGTTCTGATTGATGAGTCGCGAGCCGGTGTTAACGAGAGGCTAGAGGTTTGGAGACAGGCTCTTGAGCCTAAGGGTTTCAAGCTGAGAAGGACGAAGACGGAATACCTGGAGTGTAAATTCAGCGTTGAGCCAGGGGAAGCGGGCGTGGATGTGAGGCTTGAATCACAGGTCATCCCGAGTAGAGGCAGCTTCAAGTACCTTGGTTCGGTTATCC